GCCAAAATGAAGAAGGAGAGTAAAGGACAACTGATTTTGGTAGATGTAGAGGTGTTTAGGAGTAGGGTAGGGGCCCTTATAGACTCAGGGGCTACCCGTAGTTATATCAGCCGTAGGGCGCTGAAGAAGTTGAGGCTAGGACTAAAGGTCCAGAAGTTAATAGACCCTATAGTCAGTGTTCTCGCAGACAACCGCACAATGCGCGTTGAGGATTATGTAGAGGGAGTCCAGGCGTACTTTCGCCTAAAGAAGGATGGGAAGGTGGAGAAATTTCTCCATTCCCTGACTCTTCTCATACAAGATGACCTTCCTTTCGATGTAGTGTCAGGAATGGATTGGGGAGAGGCAGCGGGGGCCACACTCCATCTGAGAGAGCATGAGTGTAGGCTCCCTAATCCGTCAGGCGAAGTGAAGACTGCTCGCCTGTTCCATGCGTCCGGTGTAGATAACACCTTGGCGCATTGCTGTCTTAGTGCTCCTGCGTTCGCGCGATTAGTAAGAAAGGAGCAGTTAGAGGAACAGGTCTTTGTGGTGTATGTCAGACCTGTCACTGAGGCCCCGGAAAAGGATAGTTCCACAGATCCAACAATTGTCAAGCTCCTGAAAGAATTCAAAGACTTGACTGAGTCGCCGACAGGAGTAGTGTCGCGACCCATCCAGCACAGGATAGAGATAGAGCCTGGCAGTAGAACTCCTAAGGGTGCAGTCTACAAGATGTCCCCTAGAGAGTTAGAGGAGCTTCGCAAGCAGTTAGACGAACTCCTTGAGAAAGGGTGGATCAGGCCCAGTTCGTCTCCTTTTGGAGCACCCGTTTTGTTTGTCCCCAAGAAGGAAGGAGAGATGAGAATGTGTATAGACTATAGGGGATTACATGCGATCACCGTGAAGAATGCTGAGCCGCTGCCCAGGATAGACGATCTTTTAGATCGGGTGCAGGGTTGTAAGTATTTCTCTAAGATAGACTTAAAGTCCGAATACCATCAGATAGAGGTTCATCCTGATGATCAGTACAAGACTGCGTTCCGGACTAGATATGGGCATTATGAGTTTATAGTGATGCCCTTTGGACWAACCAACGMGCCAGCTACTTTTCAGYGTTGTATGAATGACCTGTKTAGACCATGGTTAGATAAATTTRTAGTAGTCTACTTAGATGATATCCTAGTCTTTAGTAAGACCCTCCAGGAGCACCAGGGTCATCTGAGGCAGGTCTTGGAGAAGCTTAGAGAGGCTAACTTCAAGATCAATGCGAAGAAGTGCGAGTGGGCCAAGACGCAAGTCTTATACTTGGGCCACGTGTTGGACGGAGATGGCATTAAGCCAGAGGACAGCAAGATCGCGGCGATCAGAGATTGGTCGACGCCCCGCACATTGACAGAGTTGCGGTCATTCCTAGGCTTAACTAACTACTATAGGAAGTTCGTAAGGAACTTCTCTACTATCGTCGCTCCCTTGCGCAGGTTGCTGAAGAAAGAGGCAATCTGGCAATGGGACAAAGATTGTACGTCTGCGCTCAAGAAGCTAAAGCACGCGCTAATAGAATATCCTGTCCTCAAAGTTGCAGATTCGTCTTTGCCATTTGTCGTCACCACGGACGCGAGTCAGTATGGGATAGGCGCCGTGTTGCAGCAAGACGACGGCAATGGCTATAGACCCATAGAGTTCATGTCCGCGAGGATGCCCTGTGAGAAGGTCGCT